AAGCGCTGCTGAGTCCGGTGTGCGCGAACCTGCCTCCCCTTTTCGCCCCACCTCCTGCCCGTAGAAGCGGGAGAGCTTCCCCTCAGGTTCTGCGCGCCTCAGGGCGCTTCTGGCGGTGCGAGCGGAGCGCGGCCTCCGTGGCGCCCCGCGGCTGTGTCTGTGGAGATCTGGTCCTGCAGACCCCACCGAGCGCTTTCGCTGCCCGCTTTGGACTCCCTCAGCCCCCTGAGAGTCTCGCAGGCCGGAGGGTGGGAGTTCACCGCCGAAGGTCAGTGCAGTGGGAGCTGTTTGGGGTGTCCCCTTGTTACTGAACTGCTTCAGAAACAACTTTCCCTTAAAAAAAGAGCCGTTCCTGAAGCTGTGGTGAGAACGGGCCATCCTAAACCCGCTGTGCTAAAAGTTTCTGGAATTAGCTTCGCTGAAGGAGCCCTGAAAGGAAAATCCTCCTCCAGACTGCGTTTCTGGGTGAGTAAGCTGTAAATTAAAGGAATTATTCCCTCACACACCTGCTGTAGCTTTTGGTTATCAGGGATGTGAGTGGCAAACGACTGTTTTGAGAAGTGCTTTGGCTAGAAACCCATGCGTTTTGTTCTGTTCCCGTGGCCCGTACCTACCACTCCCAAGTCACTTCAAGGAGCTGAAACACAAATCCTCATTTAATTCAGCCGAGTGAAGCTGGATTGTATCGTCCATCTGTGTGGTATCTGCTGCTTGGTTTGTATGACACTTATTTTTTCGAGTTGGCAGTTTTTTTCTGTAAAAGCTGTATATAAGTGTCTGCTGCTGTGGCAGCCTTTTCTTCTCTCTTTAAATGCTTCTGGTATTTCCTGCAGGAGGGGAGAAAAGCTTACCTGTGGCAATGATGGATCCTTCGGAGAACAACTTGTTTGATCTTCCTGATTATGAGAACACAGAAGATGAAACGTTCCCACCTCTCCCACCTCCTTCCTCTCCAGGAAGGGATGATGCGGAATGGGCTCAAGCTAATGGAGGTGAACACCCGTGACCCCTAAAGATCCCTTTTTGCAGTATGGGCAGTGAAATGCAGTGAAACCTGTATTGCTGGTGGTGTGTTTCACTACCTTGTGTTTACTGCATAGAAATAGTCTTGTGTAGACAAGAGAGCAATTTGTAATGCTAAATTGTTACTGATTCTGTGCAGTCAAGCTTGTGGGAAAAGTTTCTTTTTGCAGATTCCATGAAAATATGTACACAGGTGAAGCCTTATAAAATTCAGGCTCTTCTGACAAAATGTTTGTAAAAATAATTATACAGTGGTGACCTGTAGTTACCCTTTATGATTGGGTTTAAGAAGAGGTAATGGTGTTGAATGTAGTATTCCAGGGAGATGTGGGTACACTTTGTAGAGCATGTGACTTAATAAGAATCCAAGATGTTTCAGGACAGTAAAACTTAATTATTTGTACTTGAAAAGATCTTACTGTGTACTGAATGAGCAAATAGAAAGTATGAAGATTTTATTTTTGCTGTTGTATACTTCCACTCAAATTTGGCTGTAGTATTGAACATGTTTGTCTTGATCCCTGCTCTCTCTAGTCACTAGAAAATTGAGTTCTGAACAGATTTACTTTCTTGCTATGTGAAAAGGAGAACGTCTGAATTCCTGATGTTTAAAGTAACAAACAGTAGACCAAGTAATCAATGTGATAACTGATTGCTGGCTCTGAGATGAGGTGGACAGTGATGCCTTGTGTGTTGCAGTCAAACAGCATATACTTGCCCTAATCAAAGAGAAAATGTGTTTTGGTTCTTTTACAGACTGGTTGTGGTTACACATTGCTGCTTTCTTTGTTTTTTGAAGGTGTTGCTGGTGGTTTAGGTCTGTCTTCCTGATTTATCAATGGAAATCTTGAGACACACCTATCAAAATATGTTTATTGATACACTGAGTTTCTTAACACTTAGAAACAACATTTAGTCTCAATACATTCTTGTCAGAAATACAATCTAAAAGTTCTAAAACTAGGAAATTTCCCTTTTAAGGAGCCTATTTTCCTAGAAAAGGGGATTCCTCAGTATGTTTTAAGAGACTGATTTATTTCCAGTCTGTCTTGTGGGAGAAGCAATGTGAAATACGCAGATGTCTGTCTGGAGTCCTGTACCTGCAGTGGAATACTTGTGACCTGCCTTTTTGATAGGGTAGAAACATAAAATGTACATGATGCAAATCTAGTTGATGCCAACTGCATTATATACTTAAAGTTTGTTATTTTCTTTGTTAGAACCGGATGGGAACCAGCAGTCACAAGCAAAGGATTCTGCTGCAGCTGTACGGAAAGCATTTAAAAGGCCAGTGCCTAAACTAGATGCCCAGAGGTAGTATCTTTCACAAAACACTCCTTTCTGTGATGAATTTGATATATGGCTGTGGGGAAATGATTAAGGTTACTGTGTTCCCTGCTTAGTCATAGCCAAATAAAGAGTTTTAGAGATGGAAATGCCTCTTGTGCACTGTATCTCAACCTTTTTTTTACTTGCCTACCTGTGTCATGCTGTTAATACTCTTTCTTGAAGTCTCCTTGGAACTTAGTACATGACTAATACTTTGTTAAGAGATCTTTATTGTTTATACATAGGACTCTTGGAGCTGGATCTTCTTTATTTTCCTTTAGACATAGTACTGTAGATTTCTTTCTTTAATTAAAGTCTGCTTCAAAATAAATCTCAATACAATGATGACTGTAAGATGGTACCTAACGTACACTTACAGCTGACTTACTACAGGCTGGATAAACTCTGTATAAAAGATAAAGGATTTTAGTATTTTCTTTGCTGTTACCACTAAAACTGGTTTAAGTTCTTTATAAGCAGTGGAAAGAATCTGAACTTTCAATTTCTTTCATTTTAAATACACAGATGAAGTCAGTGATAGCACAGGTGAATGGTCACGCATCTAACTAGTTTCGCTTGGCCAGTGCAGTCATTAGACCTGACCATTCAATTTTGTTTCCATGTCATCAAAAGCAAAAAGCTTCTTGAACTAGGAAGTCCAAGTATGTACATGTATGTACATAGATGTATGGTGAATTAAATAATAATAATGATAGTCTTGAATCTTGCAGTAGTCTTTATCCTATTCTGTGTGCTCTCTTCATGACTTCTAATTCCATGTATCTTTCTATATATCTATCAAATATTCCATATATCTTTCAGGTAGAGCTCTGCAGCTTCAGGCTATTTAAAGGAATTTGAGGTTTTGTTGTTTTGGGTTTGTTCTTTATTTGAAGGGTATTTTGTTTCTTTCTTTCTTTCTTTGTTATTGTTTTTGTTAAATAGAAGTGTGGATTTCAAATAACTTCACTCATTTCGTCTTAACCAGGCTAATCTCAGAAAGAGGACTTCCAGCCCTAAGACACATGTTTGACAACGTAAAGTTCAAGGGTAAAGGGCATGAGGTAAGACATAGTGAGCTTTTATTTTATTCCTGGGAGGTTGATCTAGATTTGATAGATTGCTGCCCAGCTGATAGGGGGATAATTGATACGACACTCTGGTTAGCCAGCTTTTAGCAGTATTTGAATGTACCCTGATGGAGTTTGTAGTTGCAAATTTAAGAAAACCCACAACCATACATGAATATTTTAATAAAATCCATGTTTTGATCTGTTTTCCTCTATGGCAAAACTGGAATATCATGCCTGTGACACTTCTTATATTTTCCACAGAAAGACAGGTTTTGAAATTGCAGCAGGCTAACAAGACTGCCTACTATGTCTGGAATGCCTTACCACTAGGAAGAAAATTAACTCTATCTCAGTCAAAACCAGGACACACACATCTCCTTTCACGATCAGTTCGCTCTGTTAGTGAAAATATTCTGGCTGGTGTGACATCTCTGTCACAAAGGTTTTAATGTTGAAAAATTGTGACATAGCACTGAAGCAAAGAGAAAGCAGTACTTTCTCTACAGGCTGTCTCATTGGCTTGGATACAATTAAACATAAAAGCTGATTTTTCTTTAAACATCTTGAAATGATCAGCACACTTACAAGGATACCTGTGCAGCTCTGGTTGTCAGGGGACGTTCATGGTACCAATGAAAGGCACAAAGAAGCTAGCTGATACTGCTGCTCTGAGCAGAGATCTTTACTAGATGAAGTGGTTTAGATGTACCTTTTTTGTGTCTTCTAAACATCTAAATAAATGCCAGCTTTGGCCCTGTGGGTTCTTTTTCAGTCTGGGTTCAGACCTAGGTTGCCTAAGGCCAACTTCTCAGAAGCTAACAGATGTTTTGCAGTATGTAAATGCTCTTCCTGAACTTGGATTGCTGCTGTTCTTATAGCTTGAAATTGCACTTTCAGACTTGGCTGTGGGAGGAAGGGTTACCCACGCGTTCGTATCACTTCAGTTTTCAAGAGACTTTCAAGCTGCAGATGCTTAATGTTTTCAGAAACGTTACTGTCCCGTCTCCCTCTGCAGTCTCCTGACTTAGTCAACTTTCACTAGCTGGATGTGATCTCCTGTGCTCTAGGCAGAGGACCTGAAGACTCTCATACGACACATGGAGCACTGGGCTCATAGGCTATTTCCAAAACTGCAGTTTGAGGATTTTATTGACAGAGTTGAGTCTTTGGGGAACAAAAAGGAAGTTCAGGTACGTGTTGCTCCTGTTGGTTTCTCTTCATGCAGTACTGCATAGTCTAAGAAGCAGGTTTAGGAGAGCAATTAGACAACACAGGAAAACTTAAGTTGTGCATACTGCTAAGGAGTATAGTGTTATTGAAATTAATTTCTCTCTTTGTAAAAATAGCTCTTTCCAGTATTTAAATTTACATTTAGAGAGAAACTTTCTTTAATTGAATTAGTACTTTAGAGAATTTGCTTTGACTTTTTCAGGACATCTTTAGCCAAATGATTTGTTAAGAGTGCTGGAACTGATTGGTTTGGGGGCTTTGTTTGTTAACATTTGAACCTGCAAAAGAAGGCTTCTGAAGAATGCTGCTTCATCTGGCTGGTGGAAAATGAAGGACTAGGAGAATGATCCACAGCATTAAAAGTTGTGGGTCAAACAGACCAGTGAAAGGAGAATTTTTTTGCAGAGTAGTGAAACGTAAAGAGAAATTGGGAGTAGTATGAAAACCAAGGCAATGTTGCATAAAAGATTTTGCTACAGATGAAATATCAGTATTTTAATCTCTCATTTGCAGACCTGCCTAAAGCGGATTAGACTTGATCTTCCTATTGTACATGAAGACTTTGTAGATAACAAAGGTATGCCTATTGTGCTGTTTGTTCAGTACTTCAGTGCTTAAAATTTACTTCCCCTCCTACTGACAAGAAATTAATGATCATGGTAAGTTTTTAATGTAGAAGAAATTGTTGAGTGGTTCCCTATTTTATAACCAAGCTTCTGTGAGACGTAAAATTGCAAAACTGAACTGGTCTTGGACTAAAATGGTACATATATATGTGACAATAAATAGTGTGGTCTACTGGAAGGAAATGGGAAATGGGTATTATTACCAGCATTGCTAGAAATACTCTTCCAAAAAATCCTCAAACTGGAATTACTAAGTGAACACATTGGTTTGTATTATACTCTTAGGAGTGTGCAGTCTGAAGAGCTCTTGGGTGTCATTAATGCAGAAATCAAGGCTAATTACACTGCTCATACTACACAGTGTTGCAGTGAGGTCAGGGTGTGGTGTCCCTTATAGGGAACGCTTGTGGGCACTGTAATGTCTGTCAGTCTGGGTGTATAACTACTGCTGAGTATGTCTTCTTCCAGTATCAAAGCCCATTTAGCAAGTAGATAATTCCAGAGTCTCTTCCACTTAGATGATGGTTTTAGACTAGAAATATTTATTTATTTATTTATTTATGGTATCTTGAAAGTAAGTTTATTAGCAGAAATTAGAGAGTTTAGTGGTTGTTCCTAAGGTCGTTCGGAAGAGTTCACACTTTCATGCTGAAGCAGTTACCTACCATTGCCCGGGTTGTCTTCAGGTGAACCCCTAACCAGCCAGTCCTTGGGAAAGGTGTTCTGGTGAGTGGTTGTTCCTAAGGTCGTTTGGAAGAGTTCACACTTTCGTGCTGAAGCAGTTACCTACCATTGCCCAGGTTGTCTTCAGGTGAACCCCAAACCAGCCAGTCCTTGGGAAAGGTGTTCTGGTGGATGAGTTAACCAATGGTAAAACCTTGCCTGGCTTGAAGGGACAACCTTTGGGCAGCTGGGAACATGTGGCTGGCTTCACTGCTGGCTGCATTCACTAGGA